CAGGGCCATTTGGCTGTGCTCTGTGTCCCCAGGAGGCTCTGGCCCTGCACCGCCCCGATTTCATCTCCCGCTCGGGGCAGCGGCTGCGGCGCCTGCGGAGACGCCGGGAGGAGAGGAGGCTGCAGAGGCTGCTGCATTCCCAGAGAGAACAATTGCTGCAAATCCAGGGGGAACAGCTGCTGCAGATCCAGGGGGAACAGCTGCAAATCCAGAGGGARCAGCTGCAAATGCAGAGGGAGCAGCTGCTGCAGCCCCCGGGGAAGAGGCAGCACTGCAGGAGCGCCCGTCAGCTGCTGCCAGACAGAGGTATCTCCCATGGATTCCACATCGAATTCAGGCTGTATTTATTTATTATTCATTCCTAATCAAGGCATTACATTATTGGCTGTAAGGTCTTATCAAGGTTGTTTTTATAAAAACTTCTGTAAAACCTACAAAGGACTCGCACTGTTGCAGTAATAAACTTGTTCGCTTCTCTCCAATTTTTCCGTTTAGGTTTCCCGATGAAACAAAAAAGAAGAGCAATTCCCAAGAGTGAAATGATTCAAAGATCTAAAAGGTAAAATTCAGGGAATTGTGTTTCGGGTGGATCAGTGTCCTGGGGAGGGAAGAGCTTTGAGTTCTGTCTGCAGCCAAAGAAAGGGCTGTGCAAAGAATTCAGCTTTTCCAGTGAAAAATGCAGGGATTTTGTCAGRGGGAGAAATGTCCTACCTGGAAATTCCAAGAAACAAAATCTCTTTGGAAAAGTGATGTCTGTAGGTAATCCTGAGCATGGTGCTGCAGTGTCAGCCATCCCCAGCAAACTGGAGCCCAGATGGGGAGAATGGGACTGGGGACACTGGAGCATCTGGGGAGATTTAAAATGACCTAAGTGGGGCTGGGGACACTGGAGCATCTGGGGAGGTTTAAAATGACCTAAGTGGGGCTGGGGACACTGGACCATCTGGGGAGGTTTAAAATGACCAAACTGGAGCATTTGGGGAGGTTTAAAATGACCAAAGTGGGTCATGGGGGCACTGGAGCATCTGGGGAGATTTAAAATGACCAAAATGGGGCATCTGGGGAGGTTTGAAATGACCAAAGTGGGGCTGGGGACAGGGATGAGGCAGCATTCCCCCAAAAGGAAGAGGCTTTCTGCAGAAATAATCACCCTGAGGGAATGCAGAGACTTCTACCCTTTGGAAAATCACCTTGTGACAGTTTTATCATGTTTTTGATTCAAATAATTCATCTCTCAAATGCCCAGAACACTCACAGTGCATTTACCCTGTGGGATTCCTGTGCTGCAGAGGGAGCCTGAGAAGGGGCAATAAAAAAATGGGAATTTATTGCAGCTGAATTTTGTTGTGAATGGGATGG